CTATCGATTATTGGCGAAAAGTGTTAAAAAGTGCCGAAGTTTTGAAGCCAATAAGACCATTGAAAATGGGGTTAGCCGTCTGCATGAAAAACTCTTTCGAAAGTATTGAAAGTACCGATCACAATCTCAGTTGGTATTGGTTCTTGTAAAGCTTGAATTAGAAAATATGTTAGTGAAAAGAAAAATGTTTGATTGAGTTTTCATGATAAACTGCAACTTGATTGTTATTGTGGAAATGTTTTCAAGCTGGCGTCGATAGTAAATCAGCCGATGGTATCAAAAAGAAGTCCTCTTGAAAATATTCTCCGTAAAAACTGCATTGATCAGTATGAGGACTAGCTCGAAGTTCGTACGGAATTCTAGTTCGAGTATTCTATAGTACATCAACCTGTTTTGTTTTATTTTATTTTTCACTCTCCGTATTTATTAACCTAAGCGATATATGACTCGGTTTGCGGGCAAAATTTTTCCTGCGAATCAGAACACGTTTTCATAATAAAAAAGGTACATCGTTTTCAATTCGATGAGACAGATTTTCTCTTTTGCCTTTCTAGCATTGGAAGGAATTTTGAGAATTATGCTCTTTATGTGTTGAAGCCAAGCACTCTAAAAACTCGTCTATATATCTGTACACCAAAGCTTTCGTTTGCGTCTAATTATAGCTGGAGAATTGCTTGTTGGACTTGGCGATTCGTTTACATCTGCTGGTGATGCAGGTGGTCTATCAAAATCATATCCGATTATTGCTGGTGGTCTGCTAAATTGGCAAGCACGCAATTTCGCGAAAGGTGGAGCTAAAATGAGTCAAATACCTGCTCAGTTAGCTGCTGCTGCATCTTCGTTATCTAATGCAACTCATGTTGTATTCACAATTGGTGGCAATGATCTTGGAGTAGCTGACTCCCTTATACAGATTATCCTGAAAAACAATTTCACGGCTGTTATTCAAAAAGCTACCAATCTCAAACCTCGACTCGTCTCTACTTACAAACTCATTCAAGCTGCCGTTCGTCCTCAAACCAAAATCTATGCTGTTCCCTACGTTGATTTCATAAGTGTTGGCAACAAAATTCCGAACGAAGCCGATTGTCATCGAATGATGGATGTATTAACGAGCACTATCCAAGATGCTGCTGCAGAAGCTAAAATTGGTTTTATCGGTGCTGTCAAATTGGCATTTCTCGGTCATGAAATGTTTTCAGCTGATCCATATGTCGATAGCTTCTTAAGTCAGAAAAATGCAGCCCACCCGAATGCTAAAGGTTATGCCAAAATTGGACAAGTGGTTGCTGTCCACTTACAATCAGAGTAACGATGATGGAATCATTAGCGATGACAACATATGCCAGAAGTGTGCTGTTATTTTTTTGTTGTTATCCTTATTAACCTTATAAAAGTATCAAAATAATGAGTTACAAACTGCGCGCTTGTATATTGTTCCATATACGATTTTTTTCAGTCTGCAAGATATTTCAAAAAAAGAATCCAATCTACCAGCAAAATACTTGAGAATCGTATTTTTGATATAAAATGAAGAGTTTCTTATTGGAACGAATTTATGCAAATGCATATGAATATCGCAAGAGTAGACGCTTATGACGGAAAGAAAAAATTTAATACGAAGATACAAAGTGTTGCTACACCGTTTGAGTTATTTAAAATACATTCTTGAACAACATTTGCTTATAAGTCATTCTATGCTTCCATTGGTCACATCCTCCACTTCACTTTGTGAGTTTGGATTTTTCTTTTATTTTTCTGTTTAATGATACTAGCTCAGTAGGGTTAAAATCATGACTAATTTTGATCGAATTTCTGGAAACCATTTAGAGAGATGGGCAAACTCGATCACACACAAATATAACCTACTGAACCTCATATTACACTATTATCAGGATGAAGAGATTTATAGGGTGTGGGTGTGTTGATAGAAATGACTTGTAGAAAGTCAATCAAAAGCTAGCAAGACCGGTTTCGATTACCGCTAAAGTAATCACTTATCAATTGCTTAAGATTGAAGGATGTTACAAAGATATAACTCTTCTACTAAGCGTGAACAATGTCGAAAATGGGTGTGGGTGTGGGTGTGTATATAGAATAGATTGAAATAAATTCAGTCAATAGCCAGCAAGACGCGTTTTATTCTGTCTGTAGTGATGTGTGATCCTGTGGATGAGGGTGGGCGTGGGTGTGGTGTGGATGTGGATGTAGTGTGGGTGTGGATGTAGTGTGGGTGTGGGTGTGGATGTAGTGTGGGTGTGGATGTAGTGTGGGTGTGGGTGTGGATGTAGTGTGGGTGTGGGTGTGGATGTAGTGTGGGTGTGGATGTAGTGTGGGTGTGGGTGTGGATGTAGTGTGGGTGTGGGTGTAGGTGTCACTCCTCTTATTGACCCACACCCACACCCACACCCACCCCACACCCCACACCCACACCCACCCCACACCCACACCCACCCCACACCCACACCCACCCCACACCCACACCCATACCCTCCACCTATCGTTCTCGAGTAACAACTAATGATACTGTTTATGATGATGAGTGTGATGACGGCGATTGTAAGTTTTTTTTTATATCTTTTCCTATTTCATTAAGAACATTTTTGAAGAAGCTACTACTTTGCAAATGAGTAAAAAAATTTTTACCTGAAAATTAATTGTTTGTTTTTGTTTCACGAAAAACGATGAGTCTTACAAAGAATAAGCGCTGTTTTACAAAAAAATGGTCAAATCCTTGAAATTAACAGTGCGAACATCGACAGTTTAAAAAAAAAGATCAGATTTTCTTTCCAAAGTAAACAATAGTTGTAATGATATACAGGTTGATTACGTTATTTTTAATAGTTTTGTATAGTTTGCTGTATTTATGTAAAACGTCGAAAGTTTCTTATTTTAACACAGTTGGATAGAGCATCGACTGCTCTACCGAACCATATAGTTTACACTTAATTTCCTTTTGTTCTAGTCCAAAAAGATTGATAAATCTTAAAAGTACCAAAAAAAATTTTTTGCACTTTTCTGATTTCAGATAACGGGTGGAGTAGGATAAGTGGTCTTTTTTGCATTTTATTTTTGTATCATCTAATACGTTTTATTAGAAAACATAATATAGCACAAGATGCAGCGTGAAAAGCTCTTCAATCTACAAGGTAAAGCTTATTTTAATTGTACACTTTTTGTTTTCGAAAAAAGGAAAATTCTGCACGACCAGTTTTCGTCGTTGCAAGAAAAATCACTTTTTTTGCATGAATAAGAGATTCGATTTCTAATTTCATATTTTTATCACCTAATATGTCTTCGTAAAAAAAAGTAAACTATACCAAAAGGTGCAACGTGAAAAGCTCTATAAAACTTACGCAGTGAAGCTTACTGTAATCGTTTAAAAAAATTTTAAAAATGTCGTGGGACCAATTTTCGCACGAGCAAACTGTGGTGGTTCAAAAGTTTTTGTTCAGTTTGAAAACAAAAACAAAAACTATAAAACACGTTGTCTTATGTAAATTGTAGAGCTTTTCACGCTGCATCTTCTGGTTTATCCTGTTTTTTAATAAAATGTATGAGGTGATACAAAAATAAAATGAAACATGCAGACATTTATTCTCCATGCGTATCTGAAATCAGAAAAGTGCAAAAAAATTTTTTTGGTACTTTTAAGATTTATCAATCTTTTTGGGCTAGAACAAAAGGAAATTAAGTGTAAACTATATGGTTCGGTAGAGCAGTCGATGCTCTATCCAACTGTGTTAAAATAAGAAACTTTCGACGTTTTACATAAATGCAGCAAACTATACAAAACTATTAAAAATAACGTAATCAACCTGTAAGTCGGTCTTGTGTTTCCAGCGCATTAGAAAGACTAATAAAAGAAAATTTAATCGAATGAGTCTGTGAACGAGTTTAGGATTTACTTTTGTTTTTTGATTCTTTGCGAAACAATTCGAAGGATTAGATAGTTTTTCCTTTCAAATCTATACATATGTGAATACACAAGATTTTAAGAGTTTTAGAGTTGAGTTTTGCCATTTGTTTGACCTGCAGTAGATTTCATGTGTTTGTAATCAAATAGTTCTACTCACTACCTTGCTGTGTATCAATGCATTATTGAATATCTTCATCAATTTGAACTTTGTTAGGTTCTCAAAATATTGGTTCAACCATTTCTCAATGTTCATCAACACAACAAGCATATAATTCTCGTCATCATCTGACTGGTACACGTTTTTCTGATAGTAAGCTCTTGTACTTTGTAAAAATCAGAAAATTTGATTTGAGTGTATAGGTCCAATTGTATCACCTTCGATTAAACGAAAACACAATGAAATTTCTACGGGAGAGGCTCTAATTCTTGAAAAGCTCGACTATTTAACTGAACAGTTAACAGTGTTGACCGAAAGTAATGGTGAAAAAACGAAAAAAATATTGAAAAATCAACATAAAACGGAAAAACTTGTTTATAAACTTGCTCAAGGACAAAAACTGGTGAGTAAAACAAAGTTTACTTAGAGTTCTTTTTTTTTATTCTTTTCCATAATAAAATCCATAACATATGGTCATCTGCAATCCGTCAACAGGTATTTTTCTGCCTTATGCATTGGATTCAGTGTAAGCTTTAGTATGCTTTTTTTTTACAATGAAACCAAACTCATGAATGATAGCAATAGTCAAAATGTGGTTCATATCTATATATTGATTTGCTTTTATTTTATTCCCGTTTAAGATTTTTTTAATATGTCAATAAATCATACGAAATAAATGAGATGGCGGGGCAGTGCTAATTGCTCGAAAGGCATAAGTTCCAGAGGCAAAATTAAAAAAATTCCGAACAAAAAAATATCGAAGCACAAAATCCCGATAAAAAAAAACTGGAAAAATCTCAAACGAAATATTTCGAGCTACAAAATCGCAAAAAGTAAAATATCACATATAGAAAACTAGCACGCTGAAAAAAATTATCATTGAGATAACCGATTTAGTGTTGATGCACTGCTGAGTTAAAAACATTTTGTGTAAAAAGGGAGTTCAATTCTAATAGGTGGCGCAGAAGTTTTGTATTAATTTTGTTTTTTATATAATTCTGCAACGCAACGTCTTAGAGACTTGACTTTCTTTTTATTAGAAAGAGTAAAGTGTGTAGTGTAAAAATGTATAAAAGAACTTAATTGAAAATGGTTTTTAGATGGCCAACAAGTCTTAGAATAAAAGGCCACGAAAAACTCATCAGGAACTTTAGCCATTTTTTTTTTAGTCAAAAAATTTTCTTTGACTTTCTTCATTATCCGCTTTCGACTTTTTCGAGCATCACGTGTATATAGTTGTTCATTAAAACGAAGGCTTTCACTTAGCATTAAAATAATCCATGTAGCATACAGGAGAATGAATAAAAGAGAATCTCTTTTAAATAAAGTTAATTTGTCGAGTCTGGTTTGCGAAAGGAAACACACTTTTTTTTTTAAATATCTCACAGGGCAGTGTGCATCTTATTCAAAATAATATTGTTTGATAGAGAGCTCAATAAGCTCTCATTTTCATATAAAATATATAGGTTCTGGGTTGTCTAAAATCAATTCTAGGCTGCTGTAACAACTTTTCCATCACCTGAACAATTTTCACCTGTTGTAAGTCTGCAATTCTTGTTTTTTTTCAATGAAATTAAAACTATATAATAGGATTACAAGGGTCAAAATTTGTTTGAAGATTTTGATATGAATTATACACCAACAATGTTTTTGTGTAAATTGGTTCGTCGATTGTACACAACTGAAGAAATAGAGGAGAGAGTGGTGCACGATGATCGTATGACAGCTATTAAGAGTAAATACTTATTTCTGCTTTATCTGAACCTAAATTTTTTTTGCTTATTTTTTAGAAGCTGTTAGAATAGCTTATTATCCAGATGAACAAGTCAAATTTAATCTCTTTTGGGGAACAGAAGCTCATCTTTCACTTCAAGGTCAACGTCGAGCTCAAAAATCTCGTACTCGAAAACGAGAACGGTAAATGCTTGTTGATCAATTGATGGCTAATTATATTTTTCTTTTTAGTGTAAATGGTAATCATTTGGATAATCATCCTATTGAAAACAACAACATTTAAAAATAACAGTATTTATGTCGATATTTTTCTAAGATCATGAAAAACTTCTCGTTATTTTTTTTTCTGGCATATGATTGATGAAATCTTTAATCTTTTGAAATTTATTTTTATCTATTTTTCAGTACTAGTATAATGAAAAACTTCAGATATTGAAATAAAGATGAAAAAATATTTGAATGTTCGTGGTCTATGACATAAATAAAAGCAATCTGTAGCGATAAACGTTTAATGGATAGAAGCTAACCAATAAATTAATTTATTACAAAGAGTACGTACGTTCTGTACATGCTGAGGTACGCGATACATGTAACACTCGGTACGCGTTACGGTACCATTAACGTAACACTCCGTACGCGTGACGTCACCTCTACGTACGTCACGCGTACCACAGCGTACGAGTAGACGTGGGCTGTGTCTACCAACAGATTATTGGTCCATTTTATTATCTAATTCAAAATCGAGAGAAGCATCTTGGATAATAATTTTTTAATAAATTCCAGGTTTTCTAATATCTATATATTTTCATTAAAGAAAAATCTACTCTGGGCCGGGTGGCCCGAGAAAAACGTTGGCCTGCCCGGCCCGCTTCGACCCCTGGATACAAGAGTAACAGGAATACCCACACTTATACCCTTCTCAATTAGTGCTATTCGAAATCCCATAGGTTCAATAATCAAGTATCAAAAATTGATCATGCAATCGTAGAGTGTCTTGTAGTTCTGCGAGAAACGTTCATACTCTCTGGCTGAAATTCAGTATTTTTATTGATAGAAATTTTCACCATAAAGTATTAATTTTGTAACATAAGTAAGATAGCATGTGCTATGCGTTATCGATGTTCACTACTGTCAATTTGAGTATTTCAAGTATCAGTTAATGAGAAAAAATCTTTCTAGTGGAACTCATGTTGTTATAGATGTGAGAGTGCGATGTAGGTGTTGGTATGATTGCATCAATCTCAAATCTTGGATTGTAGAACTCAGCATAGTAGCGGCTAGCCGTGAACGGCGCCTCAAAGAGGCGTTGATGAGTGACTAGCTGCTGCTCTGTGAAATTCTCTAAAGGAATACTCCAGATTGTTATAATCCATCAGAAAAATATCTAGAGTCAAGATCTGACAAGTTCAATAGAAACTAGAACTGGCAAAAAAGACTAAGAAGTGTTTTCGAATGAGATGTGAGAACAGTTGTACTGCACGTGCACAGTATTTGAATAGAACATTTGACGAAAAACATCATGCAATGAATTCAGTTCTGTCTATTCAAAGTAGATTTCAATGAAATCAAATAAGCTTTTCTACCAGTATGTGTCCGTGTCTGTGGGCATGTACTCGTCTAAATTTATTTGAGTACTTGGAAATTATCTGTCTAATCCGATGACTACTTTGAGTACGAGCGTCATTCAAGTGACGTATTTCGAGAATAAGTCTGATCAAATATAATTTATTTTAGTCTAAAAGTTCATCTATATTCGCATTTTTGTAGTAAAAACTAGCAAATGATATTGTCGGTTGATGTACTGATAACTATACGAGATTTTATTTGTTTTCAAGAAGTATGATGCGTTTTCACGCTAGTACCGTGGATGTGCTTTCTTTGCTGATTGTCTCTCGGTGCATTAAATGTAGTCTCTTTTCTCGGGACATGTGGATACTGCTGCCATAGTGTTATTCATTTAGATTTCCGTTGGATATCATTGAGAGCGTCTCAGTTTCGTTGAATGAATTTATAAGAAAACATACCACAGATATGTGCATGTCATTGTACACAAGAACATTGATGCAAGTGTCAATATTCACATTCACATGGACCATTTTCAAATTTTTTATACTAGCTGTCTTAAGGACTGCGAAACAGTATACAATACCGAAACAGTTGAATATTCAGTCGAGGGTCAAGCGAGTCACATAGACGAACGTTATTTCTTTTTTGACCTTTGACCGGACGACAAGCAAGCAAACTATTTTTTTCATATAACCCTCCCTTTAGTCGAGAAAAAAGAAGGAAAATGATGTGGAGAGCAAGCAATATCGATAGTCGTTGGTGTCACTCGCCATCTTTTTCTTTTTCTGTTCTGTTTTCTCTTCCGAACACGCACATAACGCTGCGTAGATACACAGTACAAAGTTTGAAAGAGAAAGAAAAAAGAGAGAAGAAATTTGCGACGTATATATAGTGTCAGCAAGAAAGTGAACACTTCCATTATCATGTCGCCAACACCAACTCAATCGCATCAGACTACACTCGAACGTTTTGTCGAGGCTGTCAACCAACGTCATATTCATAAGCTCGACGATCTACTCGACGCTGATATCGAAACAATATCAAATTCAAAAGTTCTTTACAAGGGAACTCAAGATGCTCGGGAATATTACACGATGGCACAGGAAGCAGTCCCGAAGGTTCACTGGAAAATTCTCGATTATCTCGTAGACGATTCAGAAAAAAATACCATACGGGCTCTGGTTTCTTATGGCAACAAAGTGTACAATGCGTTGTATACTTTCTCTCCATCGGGTAAAATCCGACGAATTGAAGCGATTTGCGATATTGATGATAGCTTAACTGAAGATCAAAACTAATCAACAGCATGAATTTTTGAATTGATTAGCTTTAATTATTTCTATATCACTTGCGTGACATTATATTCACTCGTTTTTTTTGTTTTTTTCTTATCTTTTCCAATAAAGAAGCTACTTGAGTTCGTATGATGCGTATAGGCATACATCATGATTTCTACGCTCTCATGTGTCTACCGTAGAGGATGTTCTATTAGATAAAGACGTGCAGCAAACGCTTGTACCATGGCATCTTTCAAATAGAGATATTATATTTCAAATATTATACTAAAAGAGAAACGAATGAAATAATGCAAAAACACACTACACAAGGGTGGGTGTGAGTGGGTGTAGATGAATGTGCATGAGGATGTCTTCTCATCACACAGAGCCACACCCACACACCCGTCTCATTTCAATTCTTTTCTTTTTACTTTGTTTTTTATTTCCATTTATTAATGAGAGCATTCATATAAAATTGGATTTTCTTCATCTCTATTTAGATTTTTCATCAAATAACTGTATGTGTAAGGAAGTTAAAAGAGCTAGACATTTTATTTGTTTCTCTAAAAATTAATTTACATTTATCATTGCACATGCCAACATGATTAGAAGTTTAAACTTGATTTAATTCTACCATTTTTTAGGTTAACCATTCAGCTGTCGAATACAGTAAAAATTAAAACAAAGTTCATATCATACTGCTCATTATTAGATAGATCTGCGCGAAGAGAATGAAGATTCCTATAGAATGTTGCAGGACGAAGAGCCCATGATTCTTTCTTTTGGCATTATTCGAGACATATTTTCTTTTCGAAACTATAATGGATTTAGTCAAATTATTCTTGGCAAACAAACAACTTATGCACTCCGTAGTTCACTTACTTGTATACGACTATATCGAGCAGTGTGTGGATGTGGGTATGGGTGTGAATGTGGATGTGGTTGTCGAAGAAGACAAAAGCCATACCCACACCCACACCCAAGATAGTGTCTATTGAGCTATGAATACCCTGAAAAGAGTTCGGGCCCATAGCTTATTGTTGACAAGATACTGCACTTTTACCGTGTGGGAGTGGGGGTGTGAGATGTGTGCGGGTAGGTGAAGAATAGACCACACCCACACCCTCACATATATTGTCGAAGAAAATAGTGAGTGTAAGTTTTATGTTAAAGTTTCGCGGCTCCCCTCCCCTCTCTCCATTACAGACTTTAGCAATTGAGAATAATAGGTAGTAGACTTTCTAGAGTTTTTTGCAAAATTGAACAAGTTGTAGTTTTGAAAAATAATAGATATCATTGTTTATGAATTCATTAATATGTATAATAGTGTGTAAGATCTGCTGTGAATATCATGGATATGTAAAATGGACTTATTTTGTCAATTAATGCAATGATTATAATAATAAGAATGTTAAAATAAGAAAAATGAATTTAAAAAAATGAAGAATAAAGAGCGAATAGCAATAATGCAAACAAAATATAGGACGGCCGTAGGAAAAATAAAAAAATTCTGTTTGAAATGCAGAAATTAGAAAGGTGCTTATTCTGATGTTCGGTTATCCTGCAAAACAACTATAGTTTACAAGAGATTTCACTTTATCTATTTTGTATTGGTTTAATGAGACCGGAGAATTTCGGCCCCAAAGGGGCTGCCCTAACAAACTTTTTTTATTAGAAGCAATGGCTGCTAGCTATTCGTCGATATTGAATACGAAAATTGAAGTTAACTACGATATGAGAAAATCCAATCGTTAATTCACTAGACACCAAAATCCAAAAAGTATGTGTGCGTAAAGGAATGTTGAAAAGAGGATCTGGAATTAATTAGAGACTAAAAGTCTAGTCCTTGTGCGGATAATCACTAGCGAGTGCTGTTAAATTATATCGAATCAAGCAAGGAAACACTCTAAAACTGAATCAGACAGCAGCTATTTCATTGTCCATAAAGTACTCTTTAGTTTACAGGTCCGTTATCATTACGAGCACTGCATCTCCCAATCGAATTGAACTTGAAAAGCTTAAGCTTTCGAAAGGTTCGATTAGTAATGAAAGTTACGAAGAACTATTCGCGTCAAATAGTTGAAAGCATTCCGGTTTTATTATGAGTGTATCCTAGGAACTCGAACAGTAGATTGAGAACACAATTGACTCATTTGGACATCCTATATGAATAAAGCCTTCGAAAACTAAAACTCTAGCGGCGAACTAAGAAGCACATAGAAATGAAATATCTCTATCTGCAATATTTTTAGTGTGGGTGTGGGTGTGAGGTGTGGTTTTCGGTGTTGACATGAGCATCATACCCCATTCACCCACACCCATGAATGGACTTACGACAACATTGAAGATGAAGCTGAGTGTGAAGCCAAAATACACATCCTGCGCACGTTATTTTTGAGGGTGAGGGTGAAAAATAAGAGTTGGGAATAGCAAATTGAAC